GTTGGGATCAATTTTGTCGTATTGTTTAACGCATCCGGGTATAGCGTTATCTAAAATACAAAATAGATTTGTCCCTGCTCTTCAACCATGTCATACACGAGAATTGATCGAGGTAAATTCTTAGTATCTATAGATAATTATATAATTTTAGCTTTTTATTTTCTATAGTAAAATTTTTGTTGTAAGATTCTATTTTAATAGAATATTGCAATTATTTTTTTATATATTATGATGTAGATATGCTGGTATAATAAAATATTTTTCATAGTTATATGTCTAAGTATGTATTTAAAATATTTTATTTATACTTCTATTAAATTTCGTAAAATTTATTTTACAGATATTGGTGAAATTAGAATGTTTAGAAAAAATTCTCTTGAAAAAATCATCTGTAACATTATTTTCGAAGCCACCAGAAGTTAAACCAAGTAGGTATTTATTTCTATATTAAAAATAATTTTTTTTTAAATTTTTACTTCCCGTTATTAAATATAACTGTCTAATATATTTAAATGGTATATTTAAGTCTTTTATTATATATTTAAGTTTCTTAAAAATTTATAAATTACACTGTATTGATTTATTTGTTTTTTCAGAGATTACAAATAATGATTGGGCTACTGAAGAAGATATTTTTGTCGAACCTAAAAATGGTGCAATGTTAAAATTTGGAATATTTTTAAGTACTAAAATGTATAATACAGATTTTATTACATAATTAGTAAAAACTGAATTTATAATAAAATATTAAAGTTTAGAAAACAGATTAAACTGATATATTGCATGTAGAATTTTTATTAAGCAATCTGTAATTAAGATTACAGATTTGTAATTACTAATTATAAATAATATATTATAACAGATATATCTGTTAATAACAAATTATAGATTTTGTAATTAGCTAGCTATGATATTAATTATAGTTTATAAATAATATTTCATTAACATATTTGTTTTGATGTTTTATTAATTTTATTAATTATTTCCATTTAATTTTTTATTTAATTATGTATGAAATTCCAGAAATCAACTCCGTGTTGAAGTTTTATAGCCTTTCATATTTTCATTAGTATTTGAAATATTATTAAATTATTATTTAATTACAGTTTATATCAAAAATATCAATATTTATATGAATAGATAAATGATTTGAATATTCAACATCTATTTTTCTTTATAAAAAACTTGTACACATATAAAAAGTTATTTTATATTCTTGTAAATATAAAACAAAATATAAAATATCTATAAATTATATAATTTTAGTAACCAGTAACATATTTTAACCTATATAAAAGTTAATATTTTATATCGCAATGTATTCATAAAGTATATTAATATCTTCGTATTACGTAATAAAATTACAAATTGTGATAATTTGCAAGCATTTAGTTATTACTGTTAAGACCAAGGGTACGTATCACTTGTGATATGGAGGTGCTAAGTGTGGGAATGTCCAAACATCTTTGTATTTTGATTCAGAGCAAGGGCCACTTCAAAACTCTAGACAAGCGTCCCATACATTTAAGCCAATTTGAAGTGCGAAGAGACTTTTCACACCATAGGGATCGCCATGTCATAAATACGTACTCGAAGGAGTATGTAAAAAACGAGATAGTTTCTAGGAACGAATACTATTAATAATGCTATCCCACCATAGTCACTCGCAGCTATGGGAAAATTTTGGAATTTCTATCACACTCCTGATTGGTTCTAACATATCCCCCGCTTTTCAATTCTTCCGGGTCTCTTGGAAGGAGATAACCCAAGGAAGGTTACGAAGGAAGGTTACTCGGAGGATAGAACAAGGAGTCAAATTTCAGAGTTCCATCAAGAGAGTCAAAATTTAGAGTTCAAAACATTTAGTTATTTATATAACATTCTTGCCCAAGCAAGAATTGCATTGGAGCCATCAGACTCGATAGTCAATAAAATCAAAATCAACAAATTAGTTTCATTTTCATTCCCACATCAGTGGGTGGTCTTTTGAGCAATACGCAAAGGTGCAAGAACGACAGCAGTCGTGATTGACCTTGACAATTAAATAAATTAGAATTACCATAACAAGTATTTAAATGGATTATTTTAAATAAAATGATATTATTTTCTTTATTTTTGTTTAAAAACTAGAATTGAAGAATAACAAATATTACATTATAATGTAATAATGTTATATTAAAATACTTGTATTAATTATATAAATATATTCTTGTCTTCAATTTCAATCACAGAAATTTTTTATTAATAAATGTATAATTACTCTTTGATGTAATAACATTATTAACAGTAATATATTTATATGTATTTATATGTATTTAATAGATATAACAATAATAATGTATGGTAAAATATAGATACAATGTAACATATCATTTTTATAAATGTATAAATGCATAGTAATTCTAAATGTGTGTAAGATGTAAACTAATATTATTATCTTAATTTGTGTAAAAATTATTATAAAAAAATTGAATGTAATATCAAGAAGAATATAAAATAAATTAAATGCTTCAAGTATAAATATAGATAATTTTCAAAAATAATCGAGAACATATATTTTTAAAATATATTTTGTACAAATTGCAGCAAATTTTAAACTAGTAGTAAATTATAGTAAAATAACTTAAAAAAAATTATTTTTTCATTAATATTAGCTATATTTGTACTAGTTCAATATAATAATTATTTCCAACATGACATTTTCAAAATTAATATTATTAACAAAAAATACAACTTTCACAAGAACTCCTAAATTTAGAATGAATAAACAGCATCGAGAAAATAAAATAGTATTTTTAATATATATATATATATATATACATATATATA